AAAAGGACATCTGCAAACTGAGAAGAAGAAAAGTAGCAAAAGATGGTCCCTGAAGGAAAGTAATCACCACTTTCCTAGACAAATCTGTGAATTATAGAAACTTTAAATTACCTCCGGACTGAAATTCCAGATGTAGGGTTGTTTTTTTTGTTTTTATGATATTAAATGACCGCTATTGCATAAGAATTGCTGTCTTTGAGTAGCATTGTCCAAGCCTTTCTTGTTGCCAAAGGTCGTGTGGCATTTGTTTCTAATGTAGAATGCCATTATTAATTAGGAACACTGGATTTCCACAGGGCCATATGACCTGTTAATGAGGACACTCTAAATCCTGTTATCAGCAATAGCCAGTTGAATTGGCTCAGGTGTGAAATAGGTTGCCTCTGCAGGGCTCACAGTTTTATTACTAGATTCCCATCCCTTTCCTAGTCCCCCAAACACAGCCATCGCAAACATCGTGTCACAACCTTTCTCTGAAAAGAACGTATTAATAGTAGCAGTCCTTTATTGGGAGGGCCTGACTGTGCCAGACACCAAGCTAAATGCTTTGTGGAGATTAACTCAGTTCATCCGCCCAACAACCCGCAGATCATTCTGTTAGTTTCCCCTATTTTTAGGTCCAGGAAACTGAGGTCCATCTGCCCAGGAAGTAAAACCTAGGCTTTTCCAACTCTGGAACCAGAATGTGCTGAGTCATTAGACTACCTGTCACATTGATGAACAAGCATTCATTCATTCACTCATTCCACTGAGGGCCTAAGGTGAGCCAGGTATCAGCCTAGGAGAGCACAGTGACATGCACTTGCCTGCAAGAAGCTCACAGTCTATCTCAGGGAGAGAACAGCCAGATCTGGTTTGGTTTGGGGGGCTGACAAGCTAAGGGATTTAGGACAAGTCTGTCCTACTCTGTTAGTCTCAGATTTTGTATCTGTAAAATAAAGCAGCTGGATTTAGACAAGTGTTTTTCCACCTTTATTGTGAATCAGACTCATATGGGGAATAGGTTTAAAAACACATCATCTTGGCTTCCCATCGCCAGATACTTTGATTTAATAGGTTCAGTGTGGGGCCCAGGAATTTACATCTATAATGAGGTCTCCCAAGGGCCACCCTTTGAGAGAAACTGATCTGGCTATAAACTCCGTGCCTACGTGAAATCTGTGTTGTCTTGCCTGTGCTCCCAGTGCCTAGCACAGTGCCTGGTACTGAGTGGTTCTCAGTAAACATTTGGTGATAGTGTGGATGATCTATGAGTTTTCCACGGATGAACTCTTAAACCACCTGAAAATTCTTAAGGTGAAGAAAACTCTTTGTAAATGTCCTAGAGAAATATAGTAGCTTTCTGTTCACGCTTTGCAAGTAAAAAGGGTGGATCGTTCCACTACTGACATATTTAAAAGAAGAAAAAAAAAAACCACCTGAAATCTTTATTAAGATTTGTGGACAGGGCCCTTTGGACTCTGAATGCTCTGTTTTCTCCTACCAACAGCTCAGAAATATTATTGGAATATTTTAAACCCATATAATAAAATTTGAGTCCTATATCAAGGTGATTTGGTGAGAACATGTCAATTTAGTTTCTTAAAACCCTACAAGAGTTGCTATCCACATTCCGTGTGTAAATTCTGAAAGTGCTCAAGAGATACGGTTTGTGATGTTTCTCAGTTCATCTAAAAGTGTCCTTTGGGCAGGTAGTGCCATCTCCATTTTCCAGGTAGGAAAATCGAGGTGCCCGTGACTCCTGTAGCTTGTCCAAGGTCATATTGCAAGGGTTCTCTCCACTGAAAACTAGCCCTGGAGTCCAGACTCTTCTCCTCTTGTCTGCCGGTGTGGCCTTGGGTAAGGAGTATGGCTTCTTTGGGCCTTAGTTCCCCCATCCTCAAGATGAGGAAGGAAGGGCTAATTGTCTCTGAGCAGCTGCTTAGCTAGCATATTAGAGGACTACTATTGCATGTTTAGACATGCAGAACCCCCCTGTGTCAGCAAGCTCTAAGGTCTCTTACTTTAGGGATGATGGGAGGACTCATGATACCACCTAAGCAGCACAGATCTTCTCTGCAGATCATCCCAGAAGGACATACATCTTTAAGGCAAAGACACTGGAGACGGTGGAAGCCGTGGGTGTTAAACTTCTAGAATTTGGGGACCTTAATTCTCTACCCTGTCAGTTCAGCAATTCACTGCTCATCCTGAGAACAAGATTTAAGGAGTTTGCTTCTGTGAGGTCGCAACTGTGAGATTCAACCCCGTGTCCCATTCCCAGCCGTGTGGGAAGACTTTCACACAAGAGGATACGGAGGAAACTGTGCCCTTCATGGAACCTTAGACTCTTAAAATGTCCTTTAAAGGTCACGTAAGTGTGCTTCATGGGCCAGCACCATCAGCATCACCAGCGAGCTTGTTAGAAATGCAGAATCGCAGGCCCCACCCAGACCTCCGGAAACAGATCCTGCATTGAACAAGATCCCCACGGGATTCTGCTGCACATACAATGTGAGCAGCACTAGCCTAACCAGCCCTTGATCTCCTCCTTCACGCCCTGAGGAACAGTTGAACAGCCTGTTCCTGGCCTCTTCTAACATCTTCCAAATGGTCCTGTTTCATCCTAGTACTGATCCAACCCTTGGAATTTCTTCTCTATCCTAAACCAGCCCCTCAGTCATTCCATAACTTCTGCTATTAGCTCCAGGTGGTGCGAGTGCTGCTGTGCCAGAGACCACACTTTGAGAATCACTTCGAATTGGTATCTTCTGTTAAGGCTTTTGCAGAGCCTCTTGGGTTCCCCCAGTGATCTAAAGTAACCAACTGAAGTTCCAATCTTTGGGTAGCAGAAAGTGGAAAAGGCCTTGGGAAGGAGGGCTGGAGAAAAATTGCTAAATAGCTCACGATCGATCAGTTGTGACATTGAGACATATTTATTTGGGCAGGTCCCTGACCCACCCCAAGGCTCAGTTTCCCTGTCTGCGAAACATGGAGGTGGCCCTAGCTTAGTTTCCAAGTATATTTGTTCACTTGTCTGGAGATTTGGTTGTCAAGTTTGTTTTTAGCAGAGGACCATTTTAAAATGAAATCCCACCCGGATCCTGAGTACGGAAAACAGAGAGATGCGTTGCTGGTCTGATTGGTCTGACTGACGGAGGGTCACGCTCCTGCTCTCAGCCCCTTCTCCCCCAGGCAGCACTGAGGCATTCAGATGTAGCTCTGCACAGTTGAAATGCACCGAAGGCTGGACTTCCAGCTCAGCCTCTGTGGTATCTGTGAACCCCAAGAACTGTTGGCGGGCTCGTGGCCTGTTTTCTTTTCTTTCCGTCCCTGACCAAGACATCTGGCACGCCAGCTTTCAGAATTTTCTTCTTGCAACTCAGAGAGGCCCGTAGGAGGGACTACAATGGATTGTTATTATCATTAAAGCTGTTGTAAGGATATTACACTGTTGTAGAAAACCTGCTAACTCAAGAATCAGCCAGGGACTTAATAAACAGGCATGTGGACTGTTTTATCCCGGTGGCTTCTTTCTACGGCTGACGTTCCGGCACACCACACATTCAGGGCCTTTGTAGTTAATTACATAGGAAATAGGACTATTGGATTCTGCGTGTCACAGTGGCAAGGACTGTCGTGCGGGAATTTTAACGGGCAAGGTGATGTGGAAAGCCAATCTCATCCAAGGGAACACGGAAATTACCTAAGCAGTGTTACCTTGGGAAGGTCTGAGTCTTTAGACTTCTCCATGGGCTTGGGAAAGCATCTGGCACCTTCAGGTGACCCCAGGCACTGGCATGCAGCCTCGTTTAATTAGGGGAACCGATTCTAATGGGCCCAGAGCAGTGGTCAGCAAACTGCGGCTTGCGAGCCACACGCGGCTCTTTGGCTCCTTGAGTGTGGCTCTTCCACAAAATACCGACTTCTGCGCATGGGCCACGAAGTTTCAGTCACTCTGTACATGCGCGCCCACACGTGGTATTTTGTGGAAGAGCCACACTCAAGGGCCAAAGAGCCGCAGTTTGCCTACCACTGGCCCAGAGGATGGGCTCATCTTCCCAGACGAATAATAAACAGCTTCAGAGCCAGGCCCGTGGGAGCTGCTCTCTGGGGGCTGTTGCATCGTCCTGTTTCCTTTCAGCATTCAACTTGTTTGTTCATACATTCCACACAGTCGCCCAATGTTCACTCTCCTTGTGACTTTAGAAATGAGCACGGCCAGGCCTAGTTCTGTGACTCTACCACCCCTGGGAGTCTGTGCCCTGACCGTTTGCCCTGCCTGCTCCTCATTTCTGCCTCTGACGCTCAGCCCAAACGCCTTCATGTCACGAAACCTTCTCCAGTTCTCCCAGGTGGAGGTGAACTCCTGTAGCACTTTCTGCAGGCCTGTCATCTGAGGGCCTCCTGCCCTGCCCCATCCCTGAGGTAGCCACCAGCCACCTGTGGCTGTGGAGCACTTGCAAGGGGCCTGAGTCGAGATGAACACGAGTGTAAAATACACACTGGATTGTGAAGACTTAGTACAAAACAAAAACAAAAGTAAAGTATCTCAATGAATTTTTTACATTGCGTGGTAAAATATTTTACATAGAGTATATTGGAGTAAATAAGATATAGTATCAAAACTAACTTCCCCTGTTTCTTTTTCTTCCCAATATAAATACTAGAAAATGTAAAGTTGCAAATGTGGCTCACATTTGGGCTCATGTTGTTATATTTCTCTTGGCAGCGCCACACGTACTGCTTTTTCTCAAGTGAAAGGAATGTTTGTCCATCTGAGTTTTTCTCATGCTGGTTTCTGACTTCTAAGGGGGTGGACACTGTGCCTCTCATCGTCCTGACTTTGTGTACCTGGGTGGCACTAACAGAGGTATACCAAGGGGGTTAATAAATGAACAGTTGATAGACATTCAATCAATACCAAAAGCTCCCTTGGGCAGTGTAATTTCTGGGTCTCTGTTATTAAACTTATTTTCCCCTTTTCTTTTTCACAGTTTCTGTCTTTTTCTTTTTTGAAGGGATCACACAATCAGCAAAAGAAGATACTTTTCTTGGGAGATGGACAAAAGCTGAAGGACTGGCATGACAAAGAAGCCATCAGAAGGGATGCTCAGCGTGTAGGTACGGAGAGAGGTACCGTCCACGGGTAGGCCTGTGGAGAGGGTATGCATGTGAGCTTACGTGTGTGTGTGTGTGTGTGTGTGTGTGTGTGTGTGTGTGTTTAATGGGGTGTCTGGACCTCCTGTCAGCTCCTCTCCATCTGCCAGCCTCCACCCTCCCTTCCCCTGATTCTGGAATCCTCTCTTCACCTGTGAGCTGGCCCAGTCCTTTCTCCACTCACATCACCAGATCCACTGCTTTCAGGAATTTGCCTTGCCACTTTTATTGGGTGATAAAAAATGTCTCCCCCTTATGAGATGTTTTACCACTAAAATGAGGAGCAGTAATAATAAGAGCCAACATTTATGAATATTTATAATGAGCACGGCTCACGCCCCATACGGCACATTTTCTCGGTGAATCCCACATCAACCTTTATGGCCCATTGGATGAACAGGGACCTGTAGTTCAGAGAGGTGGAGTCATCTGCCCACCGGCACACAGTGAGAAAGAGGCAGGCTTGGAATTTGAACCCAGGTCTGGAGGACAGAATTGACCCCTACCAGCCGTACAGCCACGAGGCTGAATGAATTTATTGGGCTTCACCTAACATTTTCTTTGGCTAATTCGTCTTTGGAGCAGTTTCTGTTACCGCTGGGGAGTTGGGAAGGGAAGTTATGTGGAGGTTGTTTGTAGAGAGCCTAGACGAGGAGCCAGGAGGGCAGCTCTGACACCCCTGTCAGCCATGTGACCATCAGGAAAATTCCATCATCCTTGAGCTCAGTTCCCCCATGTGTCCCTGGAGCTCATGCTTCCTGCTTCGACAGTCTCAGGGTATTGGTACAAAGTAGCTTTACACTGGAAAACACTGTAGAAATATAAGTGATTGGTATTTTATTCATTTTTATCTCAGTTAAAGGCACCCACTATTGATTTTTTTTTTAAAGTACATTATGACAAAACCAGATTACAACAGGCTTTGAATAGAGCTGAAATGATAACTGAAATTCAGGGAAATCTAAAGACGCCTCATGCATTTTTCCGTGTGCCAGTAATTTAGAATGAAGTTAGGGTGGGGGAGGGCTGCTTAAATTAAAAAAGGAGACATCTGAAAGGAGCCGATTTTCCAGACAATTTTACCAGAGTTATTAGCACACCGGCCTAACTAGCAAGAAAGGAGTAAGCCCTGGAGAAATTATTCAGAATAACAATGACCAGTGCTAACGGTACCAGGCACCTTGCCCTGCATTACCTCCTTAATCATCACATTGAACCTTCTTATCCCAATTAATACAAAGGCGACAACCAAGACACAGACAGGCAAAAGGCACGCCCAGGGTGACAGGGCTGGACTACAGCTTCCACCCTGCCCGCTCCAGGGCCTAAATATGAGTGCTCCCCATCCTGCCTTCCTGAGGCTCCTGCCCCAAGAGAGCTGCTTCTGCTGCATCTGAGTCCCTTGTGGAACCCATCCCGGTCACTGGCCCACTGTGTTTTACCTGGAGCATCATACAGACAGGGGAGTAGCCACAGTCCTTGGGCTCCGCCTCTTAGCTTGCACCTCCCCATCAAGCTCATGTTGTCCACATTCACTTTACAAACTGCATGGGACGATGCTCAGAGCATAAGCACCAGAAGATGAGGTCCTGTCTGACCAGCAGATCTTACTGCCATTCCTTCAGGACCCTTGGCAATGTCGGATTCTTGGGCTGTTCCTGCAGGCTCGGTGTGGACATTCCACTTCCATCCGCATCCTGGGAACCCTGAGGACAATTTCCTGGAGCATCAGGAGCGCTTTCCCCAGCTGGATTGTGCAGAGAAAAGAAAGAATCGCAGTTTATCCAACCAAGTCTGCGGCTCACATCAATACTTCCCAAGCAGTTCTGCCCGAGCCTGGGCCGACCTTAATTTGTTTGCTGGCTTTAAAAAACTCAAAGCGTCTTGTATCGTTTGTGGCAGTTTTGACTTACATATAAAGTTTGCCCTGCCTGGAGAATAACCATAACATTTCCTCACATTTATATAGTGTTTTATAGTTTACAAAAAGCTCTCACCTACTCAGCATCTATTGGACTCTTACCAGGCTGTGGGTACCAGAGCCAGTCAGCTGCGGTCAGAGAGGTGGTGTGACTGACCCAGGATTGATCAGCTCATATGTGGACCTGGTCTTCCTCTGGGCGATTAGACCCTCCTGATCAGGGATATTTGGGGCTCCTGGCAGAGTGGAGGGACCATGGGCTTTGGAACCCACAGACCTGGTTTATAGCCTTTCTGGTCCTCGTTTATCCATCAATAGGCTGAGGGCTCTCATGTTCACCACATGCTTCCTGTGGAGATTACATGAGGACAAGCTCTATTAAGTGTGTGACTCGGCCATGACTGAATGCTCACTCCCCTCCCCTCTGTACACTTCCCCCTGCAAAATCTGCACGGACACTGTATCCAGCATCCGATTTCATCTTTGTGGTTGAATCATATTCTTCCTCCTTCTTTCCCGCGCCATTCAATTAGCAACATTGACTTTGCTCTTTGCTCCCAGGAAATGGAGAACAAGGAAGACCGTACCCCATGACAGACGCTGAGAGAGTGGATCAGGCGTACCGAGAAAATGGATTTAACATCTACGTCAGCGATAAGATCTCCCTGAATCGCTCTCTCCCTGATATTCGGCACCCGAAGTAAGTGTAACGTCTCTTATCCGCTGGGATGGAAGGAGTTTGCCCTCGGCTCTTGTTGAGAATTAAAGAAGCAGGTACACGAAGCGCTGCTGGAGGAGTCTCCCTCCTGTTACACTGGGCTTTGTGGGAAGGTTCGTGTGGTCGATGCTTCTAGAATGTAGAGCAGCTGTGGCAGAGGGATGATGATGTCTCCCTAAAAGAGCCGGTCACCTTTCTGTGTTCAGATGGTGGGAACAGGGAACCTCTGCATTTCCTTTGGACTCTGGCCCATGGGGAAGTTCAGACTTCAACTTAGAAGACAATTGCAATGACAGTTTCAGCCTTTACTCTCCACTTTCTGTGTGTGGTGTTTCTTATTTTTAATCTTTACTTTAGCTCTCCTGTGTATATTTATGTCTTGTTAAAAGCTACCGCAAATCATTTGAGAGGGAACATATGTAATGATTATAAAGGTAACTGTGGCTCCCAGCCGGCATGGCTCAGTGGTTGAGCATCAACCTAAGAACCAGGAAATCACAGTTCGATTCCCGGTCAGGACACATGCCTGGATTGTAGGCTTGATCCCCGGTGTGGGGCGTGCAGGAGGCAGCCGATCGATGATTCTCTCTCATCATTGATGTTTCTGTCTCTCCTCCCTTCCTCACTGACTGGGAACAAAACTGTAACCTCCTGGTTCTTAGGTCGATGCTCAACCACTGAGCCTCACCGGGCTGGGCTTAAAGTCATAATTCATATAAGGCCACAAGGTGAATAAGGACTGAGCCAGGTATTGGGCTCCAGTCCACCCAAAACTGTCCTCTAGACTGGAAGCCATCTGCCTCCCGGGCATTTTCAGTAGGGTTACTGTGGTGGTCGTGTGATTTTCTAGTAGAGCTATTGTCCTGAAACTGGTGTGCATTAGTCGTCTGGAGGGCTGTTAGAACACAGAATATTGAGCTTCACTCCTGTAATTCCTGAATCGTTAGATTTGGGTTGAGGCCTAAGAGCTGGCATTACAAATAAGTGCCCACAGGATGCGCATGCAGCAGAGTTGGGTCCACACTGTGGGGACCACTGCAAGTAGATTTCACGCTGGCTTCTCCACGAAGATAGTTCTGAGTAGCACTGGAGCATAAAGGGTTCTGTTCAGGGACTAAAACGTAGAGCCCAGGAAAAGATAACGGCTAACACTTAAAGGTTCTTACTGTATGCCAGGCATCATTCTAAGCCAGTGGCTCCCAAAGCAGTGACTCCAGCATTACCTGGGAGCTTGTCCAAATGCAGATTTTCAAATCCTAGCCCAGATCGACTGAATCCAAAGCTCTGGGGTGGGGCCCAGCACTCTGTGCTTTAACAAGCCTTCCAGATGATGCTGAGGCACACTTCAGGTTTAAAGCTGTGTTCTGGGCACTTTCAGTGCATCAACTCGGCCAAACTTTCCAAAAACTCAACGAGATAGGTACCTTTATTGTCCCCATTTTACAGATGGGGAATGGAGGTACAAAAAGGTTAAATAACTTGCCTAAAATGACACAGCAGGTAAGAGCTGGTGCCAGAATTTGTATGCGGAAATCCTGACTCTGGAATCTGTGTTCTTAATCACCGAGCTATAACGTCTCTCCACCTGTCAGAGCTCAATTGGTAGAATGCAATAATCAAGAATTAATCTTGGTAGCATGTTCGGCTACTCACAAAATGCTTTCAGCCCCATTACATCCGCCAGTTCCTGCAACAGTGAGTTGGCCGTACTATTATCTCCACTTGGCAGGTGAGGAAACAAAGTGCGCGCTTGCCCAGGATGGGGCCCTTTTTGTAAGGATTCCTCGTAGGGAGGGGAGGAAACGGGGGACCTCCGGTGCTCCCCTGTGTGGTTTGCAATTTGTTTCATGGTCTTCAATGTCAAGCCTGAGAATTTTTTCATCCAAGTCTGAGAATATAGCTCAGATATTGCTAATATGTCTGGATTCAGAACTGTGACCTGACTCTGAGGGTCAGAAACTCAATTTATGAGTTTAGCCCCTTGCAGAGTTTAGAATTCTGCACTAACATCATCTGTCCGGCTCTGGGAAAGAAGTTCATCTGGGAGGTTTATTCCCTCGCCTCAGCTGTTCCGTGGTACTATGGGCTCTCAACTCTGGCTGTGCCTGGGGTGTTTTTGAAAATATACAAAGGCCAGGACACCACTCTAAGCCACTGGGCTCTCAATCTCTGGGGATACAGCCTGCGTCTGTATTTTCTAAAATCTTTAAAAGCAATTCTTACGTGTAACCAGGGCTGAGAACTGGTACAAAGTAGAAACATTTTCAGAATGAGAGAGAGAAGCTGAGTGTGGTCACAGCTTTCATCCAGCCATTCATTCATCTGTTCACCCAGTAAATACAGAGTGGGGCAAACGTCGGTTTACAGTTGCTCGTGTGGAAAATAACACAGTAATTAATAATACAACAATAAACTGTGTTTCACGTACTCACCACTGTAAACCTACTTTTGCCCCATCCTGTATATACTTAATGGTCTTCTGTGTGCCAGGCCCTGTGCTTGACACCAAAAACGAAGTGCTAAATGAGCCCTTATTACTGCTTTGTGCAAGGCGTGGGACAGGGGCATACGGAGCTCATTGCGCCACGGTGAGAAGACCAGTAACTGGTAGGCAGAGAGTGCTTGGAACCTCAGGGGGCTCCCCCACCGGGCTTTGCGGAACGGGGAGAAACATTACAGGTAGAGAACTGCCTGGGCAAGACAGTACGCGTTCTTCAGCTCACGAATTACAAGGCTGAGTCTTCCCTGTTAGAAGTGGAGCCAGGATGAGGATCCAGCCCTTTGTCCCCCAGCGCAGTGCTCTTTCCTGACAGCTGAGAAAGAGAGACAGCTTCCTAACCTAGAGCTCCGCGGTCTGAAGAGAGAATTCAGGGGAGTCTATAAACAGAGGAGAAAAACATGGCTTTCTTTTTTCATTGACCTCTAACTGAAATGTGGTGCTCCCTTCCGTTATGACTGCAGGCAACACAGCACCTGCGATGCCGTCACCACAAGAAATCATGTAACTTTCTCATCACTTGACAGATAGACCTGAAAGGTGGTGGGCACCCATCACTACTTTGAAAGGAAGGTAGTTTCTAGAACTGCACCAGATCTTGTGGTTTCCTGTGTTCCTCAAGAAGCACATTTATTACTGTAGTTTACATTTTTTATTATTTTGATAACTGTATTTCAGTCTAATTGGTTTCCTTTGCAGTCCTATATAGTTTATTTTATGAATTATAAGCATTGCTCTCAGAAGTGTCCATACGTATTACCAGCCTGGCAGAGGGTCCAGGACAGAAGTACGGCGAAGACCCTTGTTCTGGGTGGATGGGAACTGAGCTGCAACATGCCACAGGCTCCTCGGTTACCAGCCACCCACCCAGCCAGCATCCACGTTACAGCAAAAGATGTCGCTAAACCCAGTGCTCCTGAAACCCCCCTTTTTCAGAATCCCCAGTTGTGGAAGCTGACTTTTCAGAAATGGGTTGACAGATGTCTTGAAGAGCTTTTCTTTTTTTCTGGGGGAGGGGAGGGGACGGACTTTCCTGCTCTGTGACAGCAGAAATGTGTGAATAAATGAAAGCAGTTGGGCTGCTCATTCCCTCTGGTTTCTTTTCACTTAAACAACTTTCCCAGCAGGAGCTGGAGTTTATGTTTGCCTTTTATTCCTTCGAATTGAATTTTGGCAGCAGCATGTCAAGAACAGGGTCAAGGGGCTGTTTGTTTGTGCCAGCTGCACTGGCTTTCCCCAGAAGCCACACGGGAGAACGTGCCGCCATGGAGAATGGAAACTAGAAAGTTCGGCCTGTCTTGCTGGGCTTGAATGTGGGAGGCGGCCAGCTGGCTCTGAGCAGACCTGCCCTCTGCACCCCCTGCCCAGGGAGCAGAACAGAGGCTGGCTGGTGGGCTGGCCCACTTTCCCTGCTCCAGGGGGCTCTGTGGGCTGCTTGACAGCCACACATGGAGGCCCCTCAGGCACAGAGCTGATGGCAGTGGAGCCCCAGCTGCTAAAGTGACCCAGGCCTGAAGGTTCCTAAGCAGAGCCCTCTGTTGAGTGATCAGTTTCTCCCATGTGAAGACTGTCCACAGTGGGAATGAAAACAGCCTACAATCCTGACTACTTTCTCCAAATCCAGTCCATGGGTGTAGCTTCCAGAAATGAATGAATCTGAATGGAATCTGTTGCAATAAAAGGCCCAGGTCTACCAGATTCCTAGTTCCATGCTCCCTTTTGCTTTATTCCTTTCTGTTAAATTAACATGGTTAATTTATGGTGCATGCTGAATTTCCTGAAAAGAACTTATAAGTTCATCCTATATAATAAAAGGTTAATATGCAAATCAACTGAACTGCAGAACAGCCGGTCATTACGATGCCCACTGACCACCAGGGGGCAGATGCTCAACACAGGAGCTACCCCCGGTGGTCAGTGCACTCCCACAGGGGGAGCGCCGCTCAGCCAGAAGTCAGGCTCACGGCTGGCAAGTGCAGCAGCGGTGGCAGGAGCCGATCCCGCCTCCGTGGCAGCACTAAATATGTCTGATTGGGCCTAAGCCACCAGTCAGACATTCCCCAAGAGCTCCCAGATTGCGAGGGAGCACAGGCTGGGCTGAGGAGACCCCCTCCCCCGAGTGCACAAATTTTGTCCACTGGGCCTCTAGTATTACTATAATAGGCTATTGAGCACCTTTACATCCCCAACAGTTTACAAAAGCAACAATGGAAGGAGTTATAGCCTAAGTTTGATAAAACTTAGTGTATTAAATATATACTCTGGCTGGGGGCGGGGGGTAGTGCATTAAATATATACTCTGGTTGGCGGGGGGGATGATAATGTGAAAGCACAGGAAATTAAAGCCAACCACATTTTTAGTGAATGTACACATAGACATTAAAAATGCTCTTTTCGGGCCAAGCTGGAGTAACAGGGACCAGATTTACTCTCCTGCCTAAAACAACTGAAAAGAATTTTAAAAAGACACTGGACACCAGGAAGT